TTGATATTTTCCTTAAAGTTCCAAAACGGATAAATTCACTATGAAACTTACGTGCGTTATCGGCAGTAAGACAAACAATTAAACAAAATGAAAACACACAAAGCTCACTTCTTGCCTCCTAGAGCGAATAAGTAAATTCAGAAACTACACTTTCTTAGTGACGAAGCGTCCAACTTAAATCGTTTCTAGATACTGGATGTTGAACAAAGCTGGTCGACGGAGTGGTCATAACTTCAAGTATAAAACTTCAAGGGGGACAACGGGTGGTTATAAAAGCTATCGGGTGACTGGAAAATAAACGGAAAAGTTATGCTGGTATCTGTTTCGGGATATATAGGGATATTAATAAATGATTGGTTCTGGATTAGCATCTGGTCGGTTAGTGAGATTTGGTAAAGGTTTTTGGTAAAATACAAAATCGTTTTATATGAGGAGAAGCACAAACAAGTGGAGAACTAAGAAGAGATTTCATTTCGAAGGATGGGAACGACAGCAGACGCCATCTAACGTAGGAATTTTATAACACTTACTACAAGGTGTTTACTAATAACATTTCTACGTTTTTTTCTTACACACGGCAGGTTTGAATGTTTTTTTATCCATCGAAATCCTCGAGCAATTGTCTGCATTCTCTGATCTAATGCATTGATGTGGTCAATGAGGAAGTACGTCAGTTTTTCTTTAAAGATCATCTCTGTATATGGTATAGATATGGCAAGTATCTTTTTCAAAAACAACGAACTCAGTAATCCCAATTTGCAACTACTTTAACCGACGATGTTTTTCTTGGTCCAGATCTGCAAATCCCCCCATAATTGATAATTCTATTATAATTCTTGATATAACGGTTTCCTATTTAAAATGTTTATTATTATATGGTCGATGTTTGTTCTCCATTGAAATTGGTGAATCAGCAATGATGACATCTTTTCTTTTGGTTATTTTCTTGGTGCACAGGGCAGCTTCTGAAATAAGAGGTTTTGGCCGGAATGGATCATATTATGATCACGCTTAAAATCGCAGTTGCATATGCTCGATATAGAAAATATATTTGGAAAAAGTTAAACCGTTTTGTTATGCCGTTGAGTCCCGAACATTAACACAAACGTAGTAATTCAATAAATGCCAGTCAAAATGGATGAAATTTCAAAAAAAGTCTGAATCACAGCAGTTTATTGACATGCTTGGTCGATTACCTCGGCGTACTTTAAAGTTAGATAATAACATGATGACAGACAACGTAATAATCTATTGGTTGTTTGGATTTATTACAGACAATAGTGGGCAAAAAAGCTTAATTAACGAACATGCATGTACTTAACTGTGTTACAAAAGAAACAAAATGCGTACCCAAAGCAATTTATTATCGCCGTCTGAAAACAGTGGTTTGGGAAACAATTAAATTTAGGTAATTTAAATAATTATGCAGTAAGTACATTGAAAATAATGTAAATGAAACGGTGTGATGTATTAAGTGCTTCCAATTAGTTTGGAATGCACCTACAACGTGGTCGTGTACCTATTTAAAAAGAATACGTTTCAGAAACTAGCTGTTAGCCATCTAATAAATATAACGTAACCTCGTAATTTAAAATGGTAAATAAATCAGTAACGAGAATATATCACTTTTATCGGGAGATCAAATCGCCTAATAAATACCGGAATATCAATTATGACTACTAAAGCAAGTTGTTGAAATAGCTGGTGTACGCCTTAAGAAGAGAACATGTTTATAAAACACAATTCGGCCTAGTCAATAGTTGCGATAAACAAAAAAATATTTCAATTCCGTTTCTTCTTTTAATATCAATCAACTAAACAGACTGATCACTGTCACTTTCGGTCCTCCATCCATCTTGTATCTAATTTATCTTTATTGTGCTCTAACCTGGCATAAACTATCGAATTAAGTAGTGTAACTTTTTTCCCATGTATTACATGAGTCAACACATCTTCACTGTTTAGATTTGATAACCAAAGGCGTAACTTACTCGGACTTACAACCGTTCAGTCTTTAAAAAACTAATATTCTTAATTAAAAAAATAAAACCGATGCGTGTGCGAGTTGGTTCTTCTTTAGAGACAAATTGATTTCTAGTCTGACAAATTACGGTTTGAATTTTACAAATTAAGAACAAATGTCGGTATTAAATATTTAGTTATCTTTCGTATTTAACTGTCTACTATTATCGATTAAAACTGACTTACTTGTATTGCGAGTTACCTGTCTACTGCCACATAGTTTAATCTTGGACACATTGTTTATCTGGAGAATGATAACATATGGGGCTAGATGAATTGATGCATGAAATTCAGTGCAATCTGAAATAAGGTAGAAAAATGGAATTTTTGGCACAATTTTGGCCCAAATATGAGAAATCTCGGTTTTTTACTTCCAGCCTCATTTTTTACCTTTCTATCGTGTTCCTTGACGATAACGACGTCGGTCCATACCCTTGAACTGTATAACAAGCGGGCATTTTAGACGGAGAATACCCCAGGGTGGTCCAAAAACCGACATTTTGGACTCCATATTGAATATCTCCCTTTCGGTCCATTTTCAGACTTGGCAACGGGCAGAGAGGGATCGAAATAGGGGAAACCACTTGGAACTCAATTGTTACACGAAATGCTTCTTACATGAGCAAGGAGAGCTTTTACTGGAATGGTGCTAAGTGAAGCTGCTAAAAAATATGGGAGCCGCCGCGTTTGGACACTGGACGGGAAAATCTTCATCTCAGTTGGAGAAAACCAATCCGCAAAGAAATACTGTGTGACAACAATGGAAGAACTGCTCTCACTCGCCTGTTGATGTTGATGAAGTTTTTTTTTTCAATTTCGATCATGATGGATATATATATTTTCTTTCAAATAAATGGTTCTTTGTAGTGCATTAATATTATTATTGATGGATAAAGAAATAGTGTGTTTTTCTTACTGGCATCGGCATGAGGAAGTTTTGTATCTTTAAGTTTTAAGAATTTTGCAACAAATTAATTTTTTTGTTTTAGATTACCTGCAGTCATGAATGTAGCATTCGAGGATGACCTACCACAAGTTGAGAATGTGATTATAAATGATGTTCCTACCTATATAACAACTACACACAAGTTTATGGGAGTAAATAGCTTTATCTTTAAAGTATTTCAAACTAATATCCGTAGTATTCATAGTAACTTTGATCAGCTGGAAGTACTGCTCGATACTCTTAATTCAAAATATGACATAATAATATTGACTGAAACATGGTCGGGTGGAAGTGGAGAGTATGCGAATCTAGATGACTACTGCTGTTATTCTAACGGAAGTAACCAGAATAAAGCGGACGGGGTCCTTGTTTACATAAAAAGTAGTTTAGTTCACGAAACAAAATTGATAAACATTGAAGGATTTATTTTTATGAGAACTCGGGTTGTTGTAGCTGGGCAAAACTTTTATATAACATCATTATATAGATCTCCAGCCTACTCTCTTGATAAATTCCTTGATATTTTTGAAAGTTACATAACTCGTTACTGCAAAAATCCATTTGAACTGGTAGCGGGTGATTTTAACCTGGATACTTTAATTAACACGAGTTCTCACAAGGATAGATACGTAAATACATTAAGTGAACATGGGTTTATTAACTGCATTACAAAACCCACAAGAGTGTCAAAGTTTAGTGAAACATGTATTGACCATTTTAACTTAAAATTTGATTTTAATCGTATCAAGATCTTGCCTATTACTACCACTTTTAAAATTTCAGATCATTTTTGTTTATCGCTGTACTTAAAATTTACTGCAACTTCTACAAAAACTAGTCAAACAGAACATGTCACACTTCACAAAATTATAGATCACAACAAAGTTAAGGCGTCTTTAGTAACTCATGATTGGGATTGTATAAACCATTTAAATTTAGACGATAGTTTTAAATATTTCTTGGATACCTTAAATAATTACATTAAGAATTTCACATATATTAAGCGCAAAAAACAACTTAAAAAGAAAAAGGAGTGGGTGACTAATGAAATTATTAGTTTGATGATAGACAGAGATCGTGCCTTTAAAAGCTATCTAAAAGATAAAAGCAATACCAATCGTCATGATGTATATAAAACATTACGGAACAATGTAAACAATCTAATTAAAAAAGCTAAAGAATCTTATTATACGAAGAAATTTTCAAAAAGTAGTTCTGCGAAGTCCTTATGGGAAATTACAAAGGAAGCTATAAATCTAGATAAAAGTAAAACCAATTATCACATGATAAAGGACGAAAATGGGAAAACGGTAACCGACGAAATAGTTATGGCTGAAATGTTTAATGACTACTTCATTAAGGTCCCGAAATTGTTAGCTGACAAGTTACAAAAATATGACTATCATAATCATAACATCACTCCAAATAAAAGTTCTATGTTTTTCCTACCAATTACTGCAAATGATGTTATGTCTTCAATCAATAAACTCAAAAAAAGTACTTCTTCCGGCATAGATAACATAACATCACTGATGTTAAAAAATGTAATAACAGAAATAGCTCAACCTCTAACTGTACTGTTTAACCGTTGCATTCTTGATGGTTACTTCCCTACAATTCTAAAAACCGCAATAGTTAAACCTCTATTTAAAGGTGGTGATCCTTGTAATATTAGTAATTTTCGTCCGATTTCTTTAACGTCCTGTATATCGAAGGTATTTGAAAATATATTAAAACTTCAACTTGAATCATTCCTTCATCGTCACGAGGTATATTCTGACAATCAATATGGTTTTAGGACGGGAAGAGGAGTGGATGACGCACTTGCAAAGTTACTCTCTAATATTTATACGGCTGTGGACTCTTCACAACCCTCAATAGCTGTTTTTTTGGATCTTGCAAAGGCGTTCGACACGGTTTCACACTCCATCCTATTTGAAAAGTTGGAATTATACGGGATTCGTGGAGTGTGTTTGTCGTTACTGAAATGTTTTGTTGCGGATAGAGAGCAAGTGGTTGTAATCAAGATATATAGAGACTGGTAGGCGCGCTTATACCTGTAAAATTTGACGCCAAATCCGGCGCTAGGTAAACTCAATCCATAGATGGCGCCAGGGTGATCAGTGTACTTCAACTTAATGTCATTAAAATTGTTTTAGGTTATGATGTTATGTACAAAAATTTTTTACTTAGCGACTTGGTGTGGTTTGGCATCTACAGTGTGTTATACCTAGTTATTGTTGCAAACAATTTCGGTAAATAAAATAGACAAGTAGGTACTAATCGGATGTATAAGCAAGCAAACTTGCACATCGCACTGTTCACTTTGCTAAAGTTCAAAGTTACAGAGCATTGAGGGGTTCCACTAAAAAGGATGCTCGTTATCACAGTAAATAGTAGCGCAATACCTGCATTACAGACTTCTCACCCCGTCTAGCTGTCGGAGCTTTACTGGATCAAGCGAAGTCAACAAGTCATTGATCAATGTAAACCATATGTGAACAAACCAGGAGCCGCCCTTCTTATATTAAGATAAGCATCAAATGACCCTCACCTACACAATCTACGGTGTAAGCAATCATGCCGAGAGCTGTAAGAACCTCTGACACAAAATCATTATTGCCTGTTTGATTAGCGAGATTCTCGGCTGCTGAGATGGGGATTGAAGGAACTGGCAAAAGTCTACATTATTACTGTTAAGATGGAAGGTAGGGGACCCGACTTGTTCAACCTACCTTTTTATTTTATAACTTAATCTCGGAAGCTCCCAGGATCTAAATGCTGGTTAGAAGGGGACTAGTGCAATAATTTTAACCAACTTCTGTTCCAGGAGTGTGGCAGTGCTGGAGGCTGAACTACAAAACGGGAGTAGGAAACTGTGGCTTATCCTAACCTTAGTCATCTTCCCATTTAACGCCTCTGCAAAACGACCAACTTCGGACTTCAGAAGAATGACAGATCACTGCGTAGGCAACGACGTGGAATTGTATTAGGTGTCGATGCTAACGATGTGTGGGGAAACACAACTACACTACACTTCTGCACAGCTTCCTTGCCTTGGGTCTCATGCCGAGTACAATTACTTAGTGGTCGCTCTTCTACTTTCCATGGAAATTTAAAATACAGATGCGTTAAAACATAGACCCTTTTTCCATATTATTATCAGGGAAACTGCCTGTTACATTTTTTACAAATATTTACAAATAAATTTTCTATAAACAACGTCAACAATTTAATGAGACCAATTTTGCTAGTTACGCATATTTTTAAGAAGCTGCGCGTTATGACAATCTACAAAACAAGAATTGTAATTATTGCATTTACACTAAGTAGGTATTTTGACTAAAAAAAAAGTCGAAATGCTTCAATTACATACTGAAGGAACTCGAAGTAAAGATGTATCACGAGTTAAGGGCGTATTGTGGTCTCAAATCAAACACTTTCTCATATTTGATGGTTTAATTCAAATTTAAATGACGTGTTAGAATAAATTGACAGTTTTGTGAAGTACACTGGGATGGGTGGCGACATCTAGGGAGCGATTTTAACTGGCGCCGCATTCTGTCTTACATAATGGCGGCGAGTCATCCTACCATCTTTAATATATCTTGGTTGTAATCAATGGTACCCTAAGTAGTCCCAAACAAGTGGTAAGTGGAGTTCCCCAAGGTTCCATCCTAGGTCCCGTTCTGTTCTTATTCTACATAAACGACATAATTAATTTACGTTTTGAACGAGCTACTATAGTCTCTTATGCGGAGTTGCGGACGACACTGTACTGTACGTGGTGGGAGATACTTGGGAACAAGTCAAACAATCCACATCGTGTTACTTGTCTGTACTCGTACGTTATCTAAACCAAAACTTGCTGTCTCTCAACGACACCAAAACTCTGTATATTCCCTTTCACTCTTACAAATTTCAAACAATAGATGATGACATAAAAATCCATGAATCAGATTGCTCTCAGATTAATTGTAGTTGTGCTCTAAGTATATCTCAAAGGGACCACATCAAATATCTTGGTGTTACCATTGACAAACACCTAAGATGGGACCATCATATTACACAACTTGTGATTAAACTAAAGAGATATGTTTATCTGTTTAGAAAGTTAAAACGGTTCTGCAATGAAAATTCATTAAAAATTGTTTATTACGGCGTTGTGCAATCTGTGCTGGGATATGGTTTGTTAGCGTGGGGTGGGGCAGCTCACAAATACTTAAATAAGTTAGAGGTGGCACAGAAGCTAATAATCAAAATTATGGTTAAAAAACATGCACGTTACCCTTCTCAATTGTTATTCAAGGACACCAACCTTTTTACAATCAATCAACTATATCTTCTCTCGGTATCTCGATTTATATATAAAAATATTAATAGGCTTAAGTTAAATTTTCCCCAACACAATTACGATACAAGGACAAAAATAAAGAATTTGGCGTATAATTTAAAAATACGGAAAAAAGTTGGTCAATCTTACTTCTTGTATTATACTCAAAAGCTATATAATTACCTATTAATCTACACAAATTTATCTTTCCCTTTAACAATTTCATATCATGCGTTTATCAAATTTATTAAAGAACTTCTCCACAATAATTTCTCCCATCTTGAATCACAGATTTATTTATTTTAACGGATACTCTACACTAACTCTTTGTTTTTTATCACTCTCAACTTGTGATCGGTTCAAAAAGCGTTATCTACGTACACCTTGGGGTGTAGTGACAACAAGTTTTTAACTTAGTCGTTACACCTAAGGACGCTAAAAATGATATTTTAGTTATTTTCATTGGACATTTTTTTTACATTTACATTTATACATAGGTTATAGGTTTCTGTTACAACAAGAATGTAAATAAATGGTTATTATTATTATTATAAATTGGCCCTGATTACTATGGCAAAAAACATTAATTAAAGCATTTATTATACAGGGTGTAGCATATAAGACCCCTCGGATCATAATTCCATAAAAGATATCGAAAAATGTGAAAATAAAATTGTGCACAATTACCGTCGTCGTTTATAAAATATTTGTGGTTACCAGTGGCGTGCTGTATTCCAGTGGCGTATCAAACTTACGTTTTTCTTGTAATGGAAATGGGAATACCATTTAGTTTATTGAAGAATTGAAGTTTTGAATTGAGGCACAGGCTAAGGCCTCTTTCACTTTCAAATAATTTTTTATGTACTTTATCGAAAGAAGAACATTTTTGATAGACCTTCGCCAAATGTCACAGTTTTTCAAGGTTTCAAATAGCACCCCATTAAACAAATTATGTCTCGGGATAGTCGGAACTAGTATACCAGCGAGTCCAGGTTGCGGTGATGCCACCAACGCCACTGGAATACAGCACACCAGTGATGACCACGAATATTTCAAAAACATGGCAACCGTAATATTGAAAAACAAGCGTTTGCATTTAGTCTATTATTATCCAAGTTCGCTGCATGAATTGACAGTCAATGCAATACGGCCGTTTTCAAACTATACGATACAGCTGAATCACATCCTGATATTGATAAAAAACTGCAAATTTTTTGCTGAGGTGTAGAATGGATTAGTGAGTTCGAAGAGAAAATTAAATATTGCTCTTTGAGCTGTCGTAGGGCTCAGTCTCAGTTTCTAAAAGAGCGGAACTGCGTGGTTCAAAATATAGTAATTTTTTCGGATGTTCCGCGGTAAGCGATAGAGCCCGACTTCATTAAAAATTAATGCAGGTAGAAGTGATTCATTTACTGTGCCACCACGAGGCAAAAATCAAGAACACATCCTTCTTATCCTAAAATACGGTACGTAGACTTAATTTTCCAGGTTGAAATGGTCTGCTTAGTGCTTACACTTCACTTTCTTAGCAATTGTTATATTGCTCCTGGTGTAATATTTGTTGTAATTATTTTTCTGCACTAATAAAACGTGCAAGGGTCCGTATTTCACCTCAACCGGCGGAGTATTTAAATACCGATAGAAAATTAAAAGTGAAAGATCGGTTGTTGTCACAATGGCATCGGACGCAGAGCTAAATAGAGTATTTGACTTAGATGTGATATCTAATATGGCGGTGGTAAACACTTCTTTAAGAAAGCTGAACATAATTTTGTATCATTTAATTTACGATAAATTTATGACAGTAAATTAATATTTATCACTCACAATTTATAACAAAACACGAGCGCGACATATTTATCACTAATATTTCATTATCGATGTTGGAACTGACTTGAAACACATTCAATTCGATTTGCTTATATAGCAAACAATAATCTTTTTAGAATGTTCTCGAGTGCTCCCGAACGCTTCCGAATCTTCTAGGACAGACACGTCATATTTCAGGGAAAGAATGCGTCACATCCGCCTTAGTTGTTTTATCGCCGATGAATAGACTTTTATGGCGCCTAGATGTCCATCGGGATCTTGGGGAGGTTCGGAAAGGTAAAATGACAAGGGGTAAATGTGTCGCTAGTCAACGTAATTTTATGCTGCGATGTAACTTAAAAAAAGAACAACCATCAAGGTTTGGAGCTTTATTGGGTTGTGTGTGCTTCCATTAGCACAACAAAAAGTTTCAAATAAAAGTTTATCAACAAATCTAGTACGGGTCGCACAATGGATTCGAATAAACACCCAATTGATTGACAATGACAAAAATTTATTCCAAAACACATGAAATAAAACAAAATCCCTGAAAGAAAGAAAAGCTTACAAAACTTGTTTGTACATACCCCGCACGCAACCGCTCGACAATTAAAGTAAATAAAAATCTAAAATTACTTATAGTTTTTTTCTTAATACTCCAAATAATCTTGTCGGAAAAGGTATGCGATACTAGGCGCATTTAACTCACTTGACAAAATCGGGCTTGCTAAATAAGATGATAAATGTTCGGTGGCTGTTCGGATGGTAGAAATGTTTGACTTTTAATAAGAAGAGAACCTTATCTAAAGCTCTCTGTGCACTACTGCTCTTGCTTTGTTAACTTGACAAAACTTGTTCCGTAATCGGACAACACGCGATAAACTTCTCACAATTTTGGTTAACTTGCTGCTGCACAAAATATAAAAAATGACAAACTGCGTCTTCATTTAAATAAATCGGGCTGACTGTCCGGGAATTTAGCGTAAAAAATGTACAGGCCGTTCAAACGTCGCAACAGCGTTTCTGTTGTCTCCAGTATTTAAGGAAACACCACTTCCACTAAGAATACAAGCATTGTGAATCCTCGGGCACCGATGGGTATTTACAAACAATTTCGTCTTGAACAATCCATATACACAAGTAATATTTAATTGCATAAAACAGTAGATAAATGAGCAGTTCTGGGCGGGGTTGGACTTAACTAAATGCAAATGTTCAGCACAGCTGCTTACGTAGAAGCTAAATAACTTAACCTAACCTCATTTACAGACAGGAAGATAAATTAACCAACCGAGAAAGGCAAAGATAAATGTAAACTGTATTAAACGTTGTATTCACGAAATCAATTGCAGAACAATTCGTCAAGGCGTTGGTAAAGATAAACGGCACGATAAACTAACGACAATTGCGGATTGCGATATAGGTAAAACAAAGATATGTAATTTAAATTAAATCATATAACATAAATTTACAAGAAACGTGTTAACAAAGAGGAATTCTATAAAAATAATTTTACCTAAAGAGAGTACTGGACCGTCCCTTTCATGTAAAGACGCTTAGATAATTAATTTAAACAATTGTAGCAATCAAATCAACATTTTTTGCAAAGCTCGATCTGCCATTTCAACGACAAAAGCAAAAGTGATATCATGTCCAATGCCAATGGTACCAACTACTCCCAACACACTGAGAGCGGGAGAATTTGGACGAATCCATTCCCCCGAATTCGTTCCGTATATGAATACGCACTTTTAGGCAGCGCGCACGCTCTGGAATTCATTCTGTTGCGAGCTGTCCTATATTAAGTAGTAGGATCAAGCTCAGCTGTTCTATAGTGAGGCATTACAACATCAAAGCCGAGTTGTCCTATAGTGAGGTATAAAATACGACTACGGAAGCTTTCCGTAGAGCGGAAATCCGCCAACACCCTCGCGGGACTGCATAAATCCCTACTTGTCACCACGTCACAGTCGTAACCATAACGTTATCCATGTGATAAACGTGATTAAAAGTTGGCGAACGCACAATTATTTAAAAAAAAACTATAAAATCGAGAGAGCGTGAAAAGGGTATTAGACTATTTTGTCCATTTCTCAATCTCCAATTCGCCATGGAACAATAAATATGTGAGAAATAATTTGTAGATAAAAAGGGGAGTGAACATTTAAAAGAGAATTATAAATCATTATCGGTAAGTAAATATTCTTTTTTAATTTCCTAATTTTGCGGCACCTGCCCACGTTCGTCTCAATTAGATAATAATGTAAAAAGTGTCATTGGATATTTGTGTGAAGGCTTAACTTAAAATAATTAGGTACGGTACAATTAGAGTGATCCCTTGCATCGCGCCCAAAAGAAAGGATCATCTATCAAGCGCCGCGTGCGTTTTACCTTGGGAATAACTAGGCTCCGAGGGATTAAGGGGGTACGAGAACTTCGGGCCTCTCGCGACCACATTGCGTATATAAAATTCTAAACTT